TGATGTTGGGAACAAGCGCTAGTGATGATTCGACGCTCGATGCGTGGCCGTCCGCGAAAGGACCTCCCCCCCTGGGGTCGGCGGCACTGGGCGGCAGCCTTTAAATCCGGCCACCGGACGTGATCGGGCCGCAGGCCACAGCCCGTTAGGGCTTACCTTCAGGTATAAGGCCGCGCGCCCCATGCCGCCGACCATGAGCGGACCATGTACATACGTTTTGCGCTGGGCCTTCCTTATAAGGGGCGAAGGATTCGCGGATTGGTTTAGGCGATTTTTGTAGCATCTCCCCGCAGCGCCAAAAAACGAGCATTTTTAGGGGGTGCCTAATACTGGACAACACCCCCAGCATTGCCAGCATCATCCCGGATGATGCGGATGATGCTATGCATGCTGGCGATGCGAAACAAGGGGCTTAGGGGAAATGCAAGGGAACAGGAGTGACTGGAAGTGAACGAAATGCAAGTCAAAGGAATTGCACGAAAATGAAGAGGCACTGGAGAGAAACCGAGCTGCAGGAAAATGCAAGGGACAGCGGGAACGAAAAGGGAAAGGAATGCGAATGAAGGAGTCTTCAAGGAAATGAAGGGAGCTGAAACGGCAGTGAAGTGGAAGGAAGTGAAGGGACATGCCAGGAAACTGTCATGGAAGACATGCAAAGGAAGTAAAGTTCGAGTCACCCCGAGAACTGGCAGAACTTAGAGGGAAAGGAGATGCAAGAACGGGAAGGGGTGCCCGGTGGCCGGCTGTGTCGCGTCAGCGTGTAAATCCGGCCACCGGACGTGATCGGGCCGCAGGCCAAAGCCCGTTAGGGCTTACCTTCAGGTATAAGGCCGCGCGCCCCATGCCGCCGACCATGCGCGGACCATGCGCATACGTTTTGTGCTGGGCCCTCCCTTATAAGGGGCGAAGGATTCGCGGATTGGTTTAGGCGATTTTTGTAGCATCTCCCCGCAGCGCCCAAAAACGAACATTTTTAGGGGGTGCCTAATACTGGACAACACCCCCAGCATTGCCAGCATCATCCCGGATGATGCGGATGATGTTATGCATGCCGGCGATGCGGGGGATGCTGGGGATGTTGTCCCCTAAGTCGGGCCAATTTTGCCGAAAACGTGCAACCTGAAAATCTTAAAATCTGAGGTGGATGGAAATGGATGGAAAATGGCCTGGATTGAAATCTCAAAATCCTAAAGTCTTAGATTCTTAAAATCTTAAATTAATATCTAACAATCAATCTTAGAATCTCAAGATCTTAAAATCTTAGAACTTAGAATCTTAAAATCTAAAAATATAAAACTTCCTAAAGTCTTCGAATCTTGAAATCTTAAAAACCTTATGTCTTAGAATCTTGAGATCTTAAACTCTTAAAATATGAAATCTTAGAACCTTAATTCTTAAACCATTGAAACCTTAAATTCCGAAAGTCTTCAAATCTGAGACCCTTAGAATCTCAAAGTTTTTAGAATTTTAAAATCTTAACATCTACTCATCGGACTTACAGGAAAGGGAAGTGACAGAAACCCTCATGTCTTTGAATCTTCAGATGTTAAAATCTTAAAATATGAAATTCCTAAATTCTCAAAGTCTGAAAATCTCAGAATCTTAAAAGCTTCAAAAACTTAAATTCTTTAAATCTCGAACTATTGCAGTCTGAAAATCTTAAATTCATAAACAAGTAAAATATAATAAAATTCCTTCAATACGGGCTATTTTCTTCTAAATTCCTTAAACTCTTAATCTTCAACTTTTGAAGTCTTGACATCTTAAGATCTTACAATCATAAATTCCGAAAGTCGCCAAATCTGAAAATCTCAGAAAAAATAGAATCTTAAAGCCTTCGAAATCTGATAATGGATGGTAAATGGCTGGGCAATGGCCTGGCTGTTATAACCTTCAAAAGCCTTAAATCTTCGAATCTTAAAACCTTAATTCTTCAACCATTGAAACCTTAAATTCCGAAAGTCTTCAAATCTGAGACCCTTAGAATCTCAAAGTTTTTAGAATTTTGAAATCTTAACATCTACTCATCGGACTTACAGGAAAGGGAAGTGACAGAAACCCTCATGTCTTTGAATCTTCAGATGTTAAAATCTTAAAATATGAAATTCCTAAATTCTCAAAATCTGAAAATCTCAGAATCTTAAAAGCTTCAAAAACTTAAATTCTTTAAATCTCGAACTATTGCAATCTGAAAATCTTAAATTCATAAACAAGTAAAATATAATAAAATTCCTTCAATCCGGGCAATATTCTAAATTCCTTAACCTCTTAATCTTCAAATTTTGAAGTCTTGACATCTTAAGATCTTAAAATCTTAAATTCCGAAAGTCGCCAAATCTGAAAATCTCAAAAAAAATACAATCTTAAAGCCTTGGATGGAAAATGGCTGGGCAATGGCCTGGCTGTTATAACCTTCAAAAACCTTAAATCTTTGAATCTTAAAACCTTAATTCTTCAACCATTGAAACCTTAAATTCCGAAAGTCTTCAAGTCTGAGACCCTTAGAATCTCAAAGTTTTTAGAATTTTAAGATCTTAACATCTACTCATCGGACTTACAGGAAAGGGAAGTGACAGAACTCTACTCATCGGACTTACAGGAAAGGGAAGTGACAGAACGGGCAGGGCAAGGTGCCCGGTGGCCGGCTGTCGCGTCAGCGTGTAAATCCGGCCGCCGGACGTGATCGGGCCGCAGGCCAAAGCCCGCAGGGCTTACCTTCAGGTATAAGGCCGTCCGCCCCATGCCGCCGACCATGCGCAGAACATGCGCCGACCATGCTCCGACCATGCGCATACGTTTTGCGCTGGGCCCACCCTTATAAGGGGCGAAGGATTTGCGGATTGGCTTAGGCGATTTCCGAGGATTTTTGTGGCATCTCCCCGCAGCGTCCAAAAACGAGTATTTTTAGGGGGTGCCTAATACCGGACTACACCCCCAGCATTGCCAGCATCATTCCGGACGATGCGGATGATGCCATGCATGCTGACGATGCGAAACAAGGAGCTGAAGGGGAAATGCAAGGAAACAGGAGTGACTGGAAGTGAACGAAATGAAAGTCAAAGGAATTGCACGCAGAAACCGAGATGCAGGAAAATGCACGGGCAGAACGTGAAGAACCGGACAGCGGGAACGAAAAGGGAAAGGAATGCGAATAAACAATTCATGGGAAATGGCTGGATGGAATGGGCTGGAAAAAGGATGGACAAAAAGGATGCAAAATTGATGGAAATGAAGGGGCGTTGATGAAAAAAATGGAGGGAAAGGGGATGGATGGAAAATGTGTGGACAATTGATGGAAAGTTCCTGGAAAATGCATTGATGGAATGAATGGAAAAAGGATTGCAACAGGGTGCAACAATTGAGCATCCATGGCGGACATTGCTTCGGATGATGCAGTCGATGCAGGGGGTGCTGTCCACGCCGGTCAGGGACGTGTGGGGAAATGAAGGGAAAGGTGAATGGAAATGGATCGAAAAGGTCTGGTAAATGGATGTCAAAGGAATTGCACGAAAATGAAGAGGGCACTGGAAAGAAACCGAGATGCATGGAAAATAGTGGCAGGAAGTGAAGGGACATGCCAGGAAACTGTCAGGGAAGACATGCAAAGGAAGTGAAGTTCAAATCATCCCGACAACTCACAGGACTTGGAGGGAAAGGAAATGAAAGAACGGGAAGGGGTGCCCGGTGGCCGGCTGTGTCGCGTCAGCGTGTAAATCGGCTACGCCTCCTGGGGTGGCATGTCGCCGCTAGGCAATTAGCCTGCTAGCTTTAGCTATAGGGGCTGCACCCTGGCGCCGCCGACCCTTGCCACTTGGTCGTGATGCGCGGTCTAAATCCGGCACCTCTGCATCACCAGCTCGGGCTTGCGGTTCTGCTTGCCTGTGGGAAACCCTCGCGAAACATCGCGTATATGCAGGGTTTAGGCCATGTGGCTGACATCGTCAGGGTCTGATGCTTCAGCGGGGCTTGGTCTGCATCATCAAGACTTCCTTCCAAAAAGCCTCTCGACCCATGAAGCACTGTTTTTTTACAAGGTATCGGAGGGGTATAAGCGAGGCTCATTTTTGCGCATTGTGGCGCCAAGCGCTGCCGGGCATGCCGGCGATGCTGGGTCCTGGCTCTGCAAAACGCTGTAAATACTGCCAAAAACTGCTGTGCTCAGCGTTGGGCTGTTGTTCTGTCCGTTTTGCTTTTGCTGTGGCTGGCTCGCGTGCTGCGCGGTCCTTGCTTTTTTCCCGTTGGTTTTCGGGCCTTCTGGCGCGCGCGCGCGCGCGACCCCGGCCACAAAACGCTGCTATTTACGGTGTTTTGTTGCATTTGCGTTTCCGGGCTGGCTTGCGGGCTGTTCTTTTTGGGCTGCTCTTTCTGGGGTCTCTGGCGCGCGCGCACGCGCGACCCCATGTCAGCCTTCTGCGTTGGGGCCCCGCTGGGGCCCAGAAAGCTGGCATCCCCGGCATCATCTGGGGTTGGGGTGGGCAACATGCATAACCGGACCACGTTTCTCATACAAAAAACATGACATGACGCATAACTTCAAAGAGGCGTAGCCGGCTAGAGGCCGCAGGCCCAGAAAATTAACCAGCTAGCTCGCTTTCTCAAGGCGTTGCCCAGCAAACTAGCATACTCTCTAGCTAGTTGTCTATCTAACGATTGGCTGAACACTTAATCTGCAAACTAGCTCACTCGAAAGTTTGCCAGCTAGCAAGCTACCTAACTTGGCAATTGACTAGATAGCTGACCAACCGGCTAGCTAATTACCTAGCTAGCTAGCTTGTACGCAAGTTTTGGGTATGCCCAAGAGTGATAAGCATTGCTGCATTTCAATTCAAATGAGCCAAGCCAAAGTGGCACATTTCAAATTGGTTGTCATATCTAAGCGTGACGCAATATCCATCAAAAGCAGGCCCCGTACAAACACCATGGGTTGCAGCAAACCTGTTGTTTCCAGCCGGAAAAAAATCACTTCGACGCATCTCTTCATGGTATCCACATTATTCACATGGCTTGACGAAATCACGCCTCACATAGTTGGATCCACTCAGTGACAATCACAAAAATCGCCTGACCTATCCTTGCAAACCGCGAGCTGTCCATCTGATACCTGCACGCCATGCGCGCAAGAGTCGCACATCCTGTTGTCAACAATGTGTCGCATCTGACAGTCGGTTCTTTCTCACCCACACGCGCACCCTGGAGACTCTAGAGTTAGTGCTTCGCTGTGTCATTGCACTCCTTCAGACCTTGTCGAGCACGAAACAGGTTTGCATATAGGAGCCTGTCTGGGTCCGACGTGGCAAACTTCTCACAGAGCGGGCCGGGAGGTGTGGCCTCACAATCTTTTGAAAGCGCCGCATTTGCGTCCTGTAGCGCCCTGAGATCCGAGTCGACTGAACTGCCACGCTTGGACCAAACCTTGGCAAAGGTTCGGTTGAAATGGTGATAGAGCTGCATGTCCACGTTCGCTGCATGTTTCAGCACCCAACTCATCTCCGTGTCATTGAGGTCCTCATAGGAAAGCGACTCATTGTGTTGGTAGTCCTTCTGGATCGTGTAGGTCAGCGCAGGCAGGGCAACGTTCAACCTTCCTTTCAGGAGGGCCAGGCCTTCATCGAAGTACTCGGTGATCAGCATCAAGCCAGCCGAAGGAAAGCTGAAGGTCTTATCCAGGCTGGCAATCCACTCAGACACCTCGGAAGATGTGGAATTCGGCATGCCGCCAGCTTCGTAGAAGCCCAAATCATAGGACTGGAAGTTGATGAACTGCCGCACCCTCCTACCTTTGCTCGCCTTCTCCAGTTGCGTCTCCAAGCTGGCCAGGTACTCCTTGGTGCTGTTCCATTTTCCGAATTTGATGCGGTAGAAGTTGTAGGTGCTCGCCACCTGAGCCTTGGGCTCCCGCAAAATGGACACGAAGAATGGCGTCGGCTTCAAGTAGGAGGCCTCAGCCGTTCGAAGTAGACGAACTGTGAAACAACACGACAAAAATCACCAAAACGCGAGTGTCGATGAGCCAGGTCGCAAAGGCGACTGGATTCAGAACCGCATGGTTAAGTATCATGTCGAACTGGTGAGCAGGAGGGCCGTGCAGGTCCAGATTGTGCTCCCCAGGGAAAGCGAAGGGATGCCCCAAGCGCTTGTTGTCTTCACAGGCGGGCAGCATAATCGTTGAATTTGCGAGTTCAGCTAGCCTGCGCGGGTCAACCAAAGGGCTTCACACCGAGTACGCATTCCTAGCTTTAATGTTGGGCGGAAGGTGCAGGACAACCTCGCCTGCAAGCCATGTTTCACAGCGGACGGGTGCTGTCAGCTTTTCATGATTTGAACCCGTACAGTTGCTGAGGCCCTTCAAACTTAGGTAACCTGATGAGCATGCGGACATCAGCAGTGATGCCAAGTCATACCTACCTAGCTTCTATAACGCCCCGAAGGAGCTGAAGTTCTGCTGCTTGAAAGCTTGCGGCTGGGGCATCGCCGCACAACAACGTGATATGAACACAAAAGCCCCCTAAATGGAGCCACATGGAATCTTTCATGACCTCCTCTGGCCTAGCTTGTCACACCTGCAAACATGCCTTGTGCATGCTTTGCCCCTCTTCCGCCCTCTCTGTCCTGAAAAAGATGCCAGCAAGCGTGCTGCCTCCTTCAGGGTACTGTGTTCGAGTCGTGACATGCATCACGCCGGGTTTCAGTCCGTGAGAAAGCTTCACGCCATGCTGAAAGCAAGAGGCAATTCCACATGTAGACGCCCGCGCATGGCCACTTGCACGTCATGTGTTGTTTCACAAAACAACTTTTGTCACAGTCCCAAACAAGCTCATATTGCGCCTGTCTTGTGGACTTTCGCGAAGCCAATAGGTGGCATGGCCTCTCCAAAAGCCACCCGCCGCTGCAACAGGGCCGAAGAGGTGCTCGACTGCGGACAGCTGGAAGTAGCATCCGAAGCAACGACGGCCCATACCAGGCCGAAAAGGACAAAGCGAAGCATAGCTTCCTGCAGTACCAGGAGAAACGTAAAGTGCAATGTTCGAGCCTTCAAAACAGGCTGCAAACCAATCGTCATCTAATTGGACAAGACCAAGCAAGCGTGCATTGAAGGACTTGGCTGTTCAAAACAGCCACAACGCAAGAATGAAATGAGAACTCCGACGACACATGTTGTCAGCTGCGTATTGTACTGCAGAACTCTCAACCCTTAGGTTGCCAAACATGTTCATCGGCAGCTTATGTAGCATTCATCCGCAGGGATGTGCGGCGCAATCATTCTGTAAAGGCTGGACCCTACAGCCTCAAGGGCATGATGAATCATGCCCCTGCGCCTATGGAATTCCAACCTGATCAGATGCCGGACACTGGAGGCCTACTTCCCCCGTCCGGATAAGGAGGACATGATTCGATCAGCCCAGATGCAAGGGTCACAGGCTGGTTGGCGCATGGGCTGCTGAAAGGCCTCACAGCAAATACCTCCTGATTGGTTTATTTGATTTGAGAAAGGCATTGTCTGTGGACCCCCCCGAACTTGCGAACCGGAAATACCAACATGGGCAGTCCAAACAAGCATCACAGTATACATCCGGGGTGAGGTGAACCTGCAGCAAGTCGTGCATGTGGAGAACCTGTCCTGACTCAACAGTGCAGGAATTGTCAATGCATCTGTGGCCTCCAATTTGCCACCTCACACCCACTCTTCTGGCCCCTAATCTTACCGCAGCCCCACCTCAACCGCAAACCTCAAGCAAAGCTGCTTTTAGGTGTGCCCTTGCTTGGCCATACACTCATCGCACCTGCCTTTTTCTCAGGATCACGGCTGGCTCTTATCCTTCGCAAACCTTGAGGCCTTGCCTCTTGCGGAAAAGGTTTGCATATGAGAGGTTGTCTGGGTCCGACGTGGCAAACTTCTCACAGAGCGGGCCGGGAGGTGTGGCCTCACAATCTTTTGAAAGCGCCGCATTTGCGTCCTGTAGCGCCTTTAGATCCGCGTCCACCGAACCGCCACGCTTGGACCAAACCTTTGCAAAGGTTCGGTTGAAATGGTGATAGAGCTGCACGTCCACGTTCGCGGTATGTTGCAGCACCCAACTCCTTACCGTGTGATTGAGCTCCTCGTAGGGAATCGACTCATCGTGTTGGTAGTCCTTTTGGATAGTGTAGGTCAGTGCCGGCCAAGCAATGTTCAACCTTCCTTTCAGGAGAGCCAGGCCTTCATCGAAGTACTCGGTGATCAGCATCAAGCCAGCCGAAGGAAAGCTGAAGGTCTTATCCAGGCTGGCAATCCACTCAGACACCTCGGAAGATGTGGAATTCGGCATGCCGCCAGCTTCATAGAAGCCCAAATCATGTGACTGGAAGTTGATGAACTGCCGCACCCTCCTACCCTTGCTTGCCCTTTGCAGGCCCTCCTCCAGGAAGGCCAGGTACTCCTTGACGCCGCTCCATTTTCCAATTTGGATGCGGTAAAAGTTGTAGGTGCTCAGGATCTGAGCCTTGGGCTCCCGCAAAATGGACACGAAGAATGGCGTAGGCTTCAAGTAGGAGGCCTCACTCGATTTGTCAGACATTCGAAGCTCGAAGCCCCGTTTTTGAACGGCTTGCGGAACACCAGACGGCACAGGCCCCTCGTTTTCTTTGTGCCGGGTAGCAAAACCTGACGCGTTGAGAATCGCGTGGTGGAGTATCATGTCGAACTGGTGGGCAGGAGGGCCGTGCAGGTCCACATTGTACTGCCCAGGGAAAGCGAAAGGATCCCCCAGGCGCGTTTTCTCCTCACAGCTTGGCATCATGATGCTCAAGTTGTGGAGCTCTGCGAGCCTGCGAAGGGCGCTGAGCTATCACTAAACCTAAGCGAAGACATACGAACAAAGACGCCACGCCAACATCAGAGTGCACTGCTGCATCTCTGGAAGCAATCAAAGGAATGTTTGCTGTCTGACTTCGGGCGACGCACGTCTTGCGAGCAGACTGCGAGTAATTTCAACTTCCATAACACTTTACGCATTCGAACATGCTAACCCTGTCCGCTCATTCCCGAGCTCCGGTCCTGAAGAAGATGCCAGCCAATGTGCTGCCTCCTGCCGACAGCTCGCCCAACAGCTGCACGTACGATCCCAGAGCAACTGAAACTGAAACAGTCCTCCCAAACCTGCAAAGGCATCAAGCAGTCAAGGTGGCCTACTCTTTGTGGGAAACTGGCTGCACGTCAACATCCGGTGGGGGCCCGAAATGAATCACATTCTTGGCAGCAAGCCCCAAAAGACACCAACGCTTCAGAAAGGCCCATATATAGCCTTGATGCATTGCCAAGTACCAACAAAAACAAAATGTCCAGCTGAACATACACTCTCGAGACCACCGAGTCCACCGACTGCCATGCACCAAACGTTTTGTGCTGTCATGGCTGAGCTTTGAGGTCACAACAAATCGAGAACAAGAAAGGCGGACGCTCGCCCCAAAGCCAAGCTTCGGCATGTCCCAGAAACTGAATGATCAGCACAAATCTCAAGCTCCGTCCTGTCTTGTGGGTCTTGCAGAAGGCAAGGGATGGCCTGGGCTCCACATCTCTGTGTCGCTGGAGGAGCGAGGGGCCGCTGACCCTCTCATCGCAGGCGTCGCAGCTAGCGGCATCTACCAGCACGCTGACCACAGAAAGGATACGAAGGATTTGGACCAGTGTCCAGCGGTAGTCCGGTGCAAGGTTCGCCATGGCTACAAGAGCCACTTGGCGACGGGTGAACATGTCAATTCCCCCGGAGAGCCAAACCATGTTGACTGCACCCTACTCGGCCATAGAATAGTAGGCATTGCGGAGGGCCAAGTTGGTTTCAACCATGGCTGGGCTAACCACATGCTCAAGCATGTCTAAACAACCATGCATATGCCACTACAGATTTCTCTCCATCGGGGCCATATGTCCCCCCTGCCTATTCTGCACCTGAACAGGCTTGACCCTGCTACATATAGGAACCAGCCCGGGACCAGCAACGACTCGATTTCCATGCTTCCCCGCCCCGAGCTGCCCCTCGCCCTGCTAGTTCTTGGTAATGGAACCTATAAGGATCCGGGGATCCCCGCAAACGAAACCACAAGGGATGGCTTTTCGTGATCATTCCCTCATTCTCCCTTGTTCCCCCGGTCTCCCGCATCGCGTCTTCTCTTTTCTCAAAAGGCGGTGGTCACCGAGAAGTCGTTGTCTCCCAGGTACCGCTTCTTGAATTCCACCTGCTTGGCCATACACCGCTCCTGCAGCCGTGACGCGCTCACGTCGTCCAGGGGCGGCAAGGTGAACTCTCCCGAGTCCTTGGCGCCTAAAGTCCTGAGGAAGAAATAGGTCTGGGCGTACTGCACCGCCTTGCGGGGTTTGCTCTTTTGGGTTTGATACCATGTTCCAATAAGGTAGCCTAACAAGGACAGCCCTGCCTTGACAGACATGTCGTAGGACACGCTCTTCAGGAAGATGCGCTCAAATGTGTTGATCTCATTCAGTGTGTATAGGTCGAACTTCTCCGCGAAATCCAGGTTCTCGTAGGACTCGTCGTACCACACTTTGGAAGCCAACATCATGGCAGTTATTGTCAGCCGTTGCCAGTTGTCTGGAGTAAACGCAACGCCGCTCATTTCACAGAAACGATCTACGTAGACCAATGTAACCACGCTGACTTCTGGATGAACCTCCAGGCTTCGAATCACCGCTTCCAGAAAGTCATAGATGTCCCATTTGTTGGGGATTCTCCTGACAGCTATGGCATTCAACGGATGCGCGGGTTTTTGGGTGGACTCCTGGTCGGACACGGAAGCCCTTGACAGCAGGGGCGAACATGCCGAGGACAAGGGCGTACCGATGTCACTGGGGCCTTCGGAGACCTCGTGCCTGGCCTGGCGCTCCAGCATGTCCCGGTAGACCGGCTCCACGAAAATGGAGCACGCCGCCAGGCCTTCTGCAGAGGCATTGTGAGGCCGCGGCTTGCCCACGGACAAAATGATCTTGTTTTGCAGGGCTGTGGCCAGGCACTTGATCAAGTTGTCCACTCCCTGTGCTCCCTGTCCTGCAGGGAGGTCCATAGACTTTGCCAACTTGGACTGCGGCGTGGCCCGCTCAAAGTAGAAGGGCATCGGGCTGTCATGGTAGCCTGCATGGGGAGCCCTCGTCAGCGAATCCGAGTCCGAGTAGGACCGTGGCCTGGGGACAGTGACCAACCAAGTGCTAGAGCTAATCATATCATTAACATATCTGTACCTCGTGTCTTGCTATGGAACGCAAGAAGTAAGAGGCCTTCAACATGGGTGAGCTTGTTTTACCCCCGCCCCTCCCGGTGATCTTCGAGTCCAACTGCTGTTCAACCAGCCAACCACCTTCTGTCCCGTCAAAGCGGGACCGCTGTTCCTGCAAATTGTGCTAAATCCTGCCTAGTCTGGGGCATGCTGTGGCTTTGCTGAACAGGCTCCTCTAGGTCGATTCTCTCGGCCCCCTGCCACTCATCCCCGCCAAACTGCCGGTAGGACTCGAAGAGCTCATTCACCCTCTGGGGGCCCCCAGCCTTCAGAAAGGGCTGGGCCGATCTCATAGCATCACGTGGCAAACATACCGCTTTCTGATAGTAACGCTGTGAGTGCTCAGTTGTTCCACACCCTCAAAAGGTGCTTTTACGTATGCTTCTGTGATGGGGCATGCAAAGGTTCAATCTTCAAACACATTAAACAATCCCGACCAAGGTAGGCACAAGCTCCAGCCCAGATCAAATGAACATTCGGAAACTACACACAACTCACACAACACCTTGATATGTTTGGGAATTCCACCAAAAAACCTCAGTAAATATGCAGCACTCCCAAAAAACATCGATGATTCTGAAAATCTTAGCAACTGTGCGGTGTCCGTGAAGCCCGACAATTCCAAAAGACACCATCAGTAAACATTGCTTTTTTTATGTTCCTCGACAATTCCAAAAAATCCACACCTTCCCACAATCTCAGCAACTATGTCCGGAATGGACATTCCAAACAAGACCATCAGTGGTCTCTGTGTTGGGACATGCAAAGGTTCAATCAGTGAAACAAGTAAACAATGACAAGCCCCAAGCAATGTGTAATAAGGTAGGCACAGGCTCCAGCCCAAATCAAGGTTAGTGGGGGATTGTCAGAAAGCGCACAATTCCAAGACCACCACGTGGTATTTTGGAATTCTCAAAGTTCCAAACAAGCCAGTAAAAGCAACATTCACCAAAAAAGGCGGCTACCCGATCTTAGGACACTCCCAAAAGGCGCAATGCAGTCCCAACATTCGCCGCCCTTCACCGCTGGCCTCCGCCATGGCGTGCAGCTGGCTCACCAGGAAGTGCACCTGCTCCGTCTGTGTGCGCACGAGGTCCTCCAACTCCATGACCCGGTCCCGCTCCTTCTGCAGTTGGGCGCCCTGCTCACGCACTAGCTCCAGCAGCCGCCGGTTCTCCTCCTGTCAAAACCATTGTATAAATCATGGAAGTGGACAGGGAACTTGTTTAGTGATGGTTTCCAACACCTAATTGGTGCACTTCAATAAGGGAAGCCAAATGTGGTATTGTTGCAAAATATGCCCTCGCGGCATTGCCCTTAAGCCAAACAAACGCGGTTCACCAAACAAGAAGGGCATCGTTTGTAAGATCCTTCGAGAATTCACCGAAATTGCCCAATTTGAACCCCCCCCAGCTCCCCTGCCTGACACCTGCGGTTTTCGCTCTCTGCCTCCGCCTTCTCCCGCGACAGCTCCTCCTTCTGTGAGCATAGGCGCCGAAGGGCCACGTCGTCCTCGCGCCGGTCTGCACCCATCGCAGCGTGCCGCAGGCTCTCCACGGCCCGCAGCAGCCGGAGCTTGTGCCCGGGATAGATGCGCAATTGCTCCTGCGCTGATGGCTCAAAGAGTGCGAAGGGATGATGCTGAAACGGATGCTGAACCAATTTGGACAAGGCGCGAGGAAGTCCAAGGCCTCCGTCTCTGAAAGCTTGCCGATGGCATCCAATTCACTCAGGCCCGCAGCCGCGAAGGCCCGCGCATATTGGTTCAAGCCGTAAACTTTCAAGTAGGCAAAGACTGGAGTTCTTGTAGCGTCCGTAGTCCCTTGCCGAGCTGCATTGCCAGGTCCATGCGACGCGGCTCGGCCCGGCCTTGAACTCATTGCCCCAGCTGTGCCCAGCGGGCCGCGCGGATATTGTCGCCGTGCTTGTGCCTGCTGTGCGTGCGCCTGCTGCGAATGTGGCGCGTGCCCCTGTTGCTGCACGTGCTGGGCATCCCTGGCGTTGCTGACACTGTAGACGTGGTCCGGGGAGGGCCGGCCAGAGCGGGGCTCCTTCTCGCTGGGTGACACCTGAGCCTCTACTCTGGAGGGGGGTCGTGGCACTGCAGGGCGCTGCCCGCTGTTGCTCCGTGGCACGCTAGTGTTCCGCTGGCCTGCCCGGCTCACTGCACTGGGACGACCGTCGCGCATGGCACGATGTTTCAGCCCACTTCTAGCATAGCGAAACCTACGGCGGCATGCGGGAACCCACGAGCCCTGTGGCTCAAGGCTTAACAATTACAGGCAGTTCGGAAAGGAATCCACATGCTAACTAAAGGAATGATTCAACTGTAACTGATTACATTACTGTAAACAAAAGACGCGCTCATTGCGCATCCCCACCATGCCGCTGGAGCCGGACCACGTCGCTTGCTTCCAGGTCTGCGCACACTCATCCATGCTGCAAACGAATGGCCGAGATTGCCACTTTGCTTAGCCTTTCGTCCAATCGTCAACTGCCAAGCCCCTTCTTTTGACTGGCCGAACGCTCACATGCGGCTCTCCAGAGAAGAGGGAATAAAGTTTCCCTTTGGGATCTTCTCCCGCGTTCCTTCTGGATTTCGCCGGTTACTTGTGAACTGACGCGTTCAGGCCACCTCATGACACCTGGCCAACAGAGCGGTGACTGCAGCGCCGCCCGCGCCGGACTCCAAACCACAGTCCGCCAGGTCCAACTGCTGGAGGCTCATCTGCGGCAGTTGAAGCGCCAGCTGCTCCAGGCCCTCGCTGCCCACGGTGTTGGCGCTGAGGTCCAGGCCCGTGAGGTGGCCCAGGCGCGACAGGTTTTGCTCAGGAAGGGGCGCAGACAAGCCACAAGAAGCCAAGGCCAAGGAGGACACCGTCGACGGGACCTGCTCCAACAAAGCCGCCACACCCAGCAACCCCAAGCTGGGGTTGCTGCAGACCGACAGCGACTCCAAGCTTGGCAGCGACCCCAGGATGGCCATCACTACATGGGCACCCTCAGCGCCCACAAGTGAGCAGCAGCTCACGTTCAACTCGCTAAGTTGGTGCCGCCCGCCTGCCAGCTCTTGGCCAAATGCCTGCAGACCCGTATTCTCGAGCTTGTAATTCTTCGCCAAGCCTTAGCAGCTTGCTTGAAGTACGAAACGTCAAGGAAGTGCAAATGACAAATGGCCTGTACTTGTGGTCAGAGATGTCAGAGTGCTATAGAACAATTCTGGCAAAGCACCGTAGCCAGCCGTGCCTTACCTAAATTGATTTGCCTATTCCCGTTAGGATGGCACGGCCTTTTTTTTTTTGGGGGGGGGGGGTATAGGTCATGGTTGAGCATCCGGTTCCCGACGAGCAGCACAGGTGCTGCAAGGCCGGCAGCTTTGGTAGCAGCCTACCCAAATCATGCCCACCAGCAGTTCCCTCCAAGCCGCACTCAGTGAGGTCCAGGCGCCTGCGACGCATCGCCGGGTCAGTCGTACATCGCTGATGAAGAGAATAAAGCTGCCACAAAATCCAGCAAGCCAGCAAGCAAGCACACGTGGCACCAACAAGACAGACCGCGAAGCCTGACACCCATCCAGCCGATGAAACGTGGCAGCACGTACATTTGTTGTTGCCCCTACTCAGGCCAAGCCAAAGCATTCAAAGTTGCACCTTTGACAAACCGAACGTTAATCAACAATTTCAGCCAAACCTGTCCTTGCCCATTCGCGATGCAAATAATCACGACTCAAAACTGCGACAAATATCAAAGAATACTTTCACCCCCTCTTTCCTTTCCTGGCCGCACCCTGCCCCATTTTTCGCCCTCACCTCAGCGGAGATGTCTCCAAAGCAGAGGTCAAGTCCATCATTGCTGATCCGAAGCCAGAGCAACACGTGAGGCTCAGCTGCCACAGGCCCGGCGCCTCACGAAGAAAGCGATGGGCGCCTACCCGGCTGACCCCCCCGCCCGCCACAGACTGGGGGCTGCTGGTTGCTGTCATTGGTGCCTAAATACGCAAAGTGACAAACAAACCCTCGGTTTCGAATACCCGGGCTGTTCAAAGGCTGCGACAACGCCCCCTTGAACTGTAGCAGCTTCCGGCTGAAGAGCTATGGACATCAATACTTATTAGTCAACTGAGACTCAGCCAACGAAAAACCACTCCCGACACAAGCCCCCCTCACGGGATTTCTTCCATAAATTGCCCCACGTCTCCCTTTGAAACGATCTGCAAAATCCAGTATTTTCATAAATCCCCGAACAAAGGACCATCATGCTGTTGCGCATGCTTCACACCCGAATCGGTGAGCCATGCCGTTTGTCGGCCATCGCCTCGAAAAGCTGCGTCAGGCTTCCGTCCAGCTTGCAGTGGTCCAGCTTCAGCGAGCGCAGCTCCAGCTGCGCCTGGGACAAAGTTGTTCATAGGATTTGCTCCTAAACTGGCAAAGGAATTTGTCTATCTGTAGGTGTCCTTTTGCCAAATAAGTCCCTTTGGAGGTTCTTGACGACTATGCCATTCGAACCTGATAAATTCTGATGCCAGCTCAAAGTTGCGGTGCGAAAAAGGTTGCAAGTAGCGAAAAATGAATGCCTCCGCCTGGGTGCGCAGCTGCCAACATTTCACACAAAAGCCTGGGGTGTAATCTAGGGAGCAGCTGCAACGCCTTTCGATCCAGTTGTGTTGTGTCCGAAGGACAAAACAAATATCATTATATGTATCATACATATAAATAAATATATATATATATATATATACATATCTATATATATACACTGTTTTGCTTGTCGGGAAATGTTTGCGTCGGATGCTGCAGCTGATGAACTGAAAGGCGAGGTTATATTATAGTTCGAGCACGTGCAACACCAGTATGCAGCCTTGGCCAGCTTCAAGCACTTGGCTGAAGCCTAATCGTGGAGTGGACTGCCATTGTTGTGAAACATTGGGCTCGGACCGGTCCCTGAACACAACAGCCTCTCAGGCACTGCCCAAGCATGGGGAAAAACAAGGGCTGAAGACCTTCAAACATGCGAGTGTGACCTGCTCAGCGGGGCAGCCAAACCCTCTGGGTCCCACCTCTAAAAGCTTGGCCAACATGTGCAGCTCCGCCGAGCCCAGCTGGCTCTTGCCTAAGCTCTGCACGCCGCTTTGCTACTGGCACTGTGAAGTGGACTGCCAGCATCGCACGTCGCAAATCGGAGGAAACGGCTCGTGAACTCCGGCCCAAGCAACATCTTTCGGTGCACTAGGCTGGCCCCCAACCCTGCGACCCAGACGAGCTGCTCAAATCCAGGGTCTGCAGGGAGCGCGGCTTCAGCTCCAAGAGTTGGGCGGTGGTCATGCGCGCGCAGCAAAGCGCCTAGCATCCGGTGGTGCATTTCAGAAATGTTCCAATATGAGTCTATGAGCTATCTCCCAAATTGAAAGGTTCTAAGATGGAATATATCTAGAGGCTTCGTTTTGAAGGGCTGCCTTCGTTTTTCAGGGGCTTTCACCTTGTGGGTTTTTACTTTGCGGGTTTTCACCTTGTGGGTTTTCATCTTGTTGTAGGCTTCGTTTCTAAGGGGCGCCTTCGTCTTACAGGGTTTTAGCCCGAACAGATACATGTCCTTGAGACTGAGTATTTTGGGATCCCGCATGTTATGAATTGGTCTTTGCTCCCGTGCCGTGTTTGTGCTGTCATTCTGACCAACTGCTCGAAACTGACAACCACGGACACAGAAGGCAACGGATTTTCTTGCTGAAAGCATGGCCCGTACACCGCGATAGAAAGACGCCGCCTGTGGAGGAAGCGACTCAAAGTGCTCCTCTCCAACGTCCAGGACCTACGACTGGGCGGGTTTGGCCCATGCTCGAAATCCATCAGCCCCTCGCCAATGGAGAAACCTCAAAGAAGCAGTTGCTGACTTCTACCAAACAGACATTCAATTAAGATGGCCGGTTGGCCGTCCCCAGCGGGCTCCTCAGGACCAGTAGTGCTAAAGTCACGAAAACCGCACAACTTGGAAAGCGCACAGTCATACCCCGCTGGCCCCTTTGGCCTGCCATGAAGCTGAGGCCAAGTCCGGCGGAACCTAAATTCCCTTGAATGCTCGACATCTCCACATACAATGCAAACTCCGCAGAGTTTGCTGCACACTTGCTCCACTGCCCCATTTGCTTCCTGCCCTCCTGCCCTTCAATTGAGCAGTTTATTGTTTTGTGCTCAAGGCCTTTACAATGCACATACGCCCACGCGAGTGCCCATGCAAAGCCTCC